TATATATATATATATAATCAGATGACTTATTTTCATACATTGCAGGTCACACAGTTAATTACTGATAAAGCTTGGGAAACAATCCATCCCTTCAAATTTCCAGGTTAAAGCTCTCACCATTCCAACACATTACAAATTTAAGTCTAGAAGTGGTGCTATAATTCCACATCATCTTAAGGATAATAAGGTTTATTACTATCTCAAACTCTTTGAAATAACAATAATAGCCAACTTTTTCGAACACAAGGCTAGTAGCCACTTTATTATATATTATCCTGAATCTTTACAATAGCTCTATAAAATATGTGTTATAATCCTCATTTAAAGATTAGGAAAATAAGGACTGGGGTTGTGGCTCAGTGTTAGATCTCTTGCCTAATACACATGAGACACTGGGTTCAAACTTCAGCACCACATAAAAATAAATAAATAAAATAAAGATATTGTGTCCATCTACAACTAAAAATTAAAAATTATATTAGGAAAATAGACCTAGAAAGATTAAGTGTTTTGCCCAATTGCTTGGCCAGAAACTGTTAAAACCAGCATTCAAATCCAATTTCATCAAAATCAATGCTCTGGTTTATCAGAAGAGATTTTTCTCTTACATATTTATGCAGATAGGAATAATACACTACATATACTAGAAGGAGACTTGTGAAATATCATTAAAACTTAAATACCTACACATAACCCACTATTATTAAATGGATAACCAATACTACTTACTTTTTCCCCTACTTTCATTTCCCCCTTCCTTTCACTTCATTTTCTTTCCCTTCCCTTCCCTTTCTTTTCTCTTTTTCTTTTTGTCCTATGGAATGTGGGCTGAATTCAAGAAAAACCAGTTCCTTTGAGAACTGATAATGGAAAATGATTAGGATTCCTACTCTAACAGGTAATTCACAAGCATACTTTTAAAATCATTAATACTGGTTGAATTTTACTGTGTGTCAGTTTGCTAGGTGCCTCTGTATACCTTGTCAAACTCCTCATCAGAGATGCTAGAGAGCTTACACTTAAAAAACTCAAAAGTCTTGATGATTTTAATTATAATCTTTGTTCATTACTAATCTTCCTGCCTTCCTTTTTTTCAGTCCTTCATATTATAGTACCTTAACCTTTAAGAAGCAAAACAGACAGCTACAAAAGGAGTAGTTATTTCACCTGACTTCTAGAAAGAAGGAGATGATCTTGAATTTAACCTATCATCTTAGTGTTACCAATTTATATCATTTAAAATCTTATGATAGTCTTCTAGATTACAAAGCAGTATTTTAGTAGACATTTCAAGCCTCCAAAAATCTGTGAGGTAGATTTTACTACTTCCATGGAACTGAGGAATGAAAGGCCAACCTTCTTAATTTTCTCAGTTATGGGCCAGACCTGTACCTAAACCCAAGATTCTAAATTCAGAGCTTTCTTCTTCTGCCATATGAAAGGTTCAATTAACCCAGGAATATGCCATATCAAGGGCCTTGAAAAAAAGAGACTCCCAATACTCTACCATTCTCCAAAACCAGGACTCACTGGAGAAATCACTGATTCTATGCCTGAGGTGGGAAAAACACATGATTAACCTGGAGTATCTCACAATACCAGAGGGCAAGGGAGGGAGTACTTGGAAAAAAAAAAAAAAACAAGGGGATACCATGGTACCAGCTATGGCCCCCTTCTCTCTTGTGGGAGAAGTCTATGTTACCCTTTTCTAAATAAACCCTGCTTCATATGCTTGCCTCAGCATACTTCTCTAATGTTCAAAGTTCAACACGTGGGAAACTAAGACTTGTCACCAACAACTGGCAATATCACTACCAGGCTCGATTTTGGAGGAAGTTCCTGAAGCCCCTTTCAATCTGTCTCTTGGGTTTCTGTGCTACACTGGAGCTGAAAAAAACTACATGGGGAACACTAAGCATCCTGAAAGCCAGGAAATGGAACCATTGACATTAAGGGATGTGGTCATTGATTTTTCTGAAGAGGAATGGAAATACCTGTAACCTTCTCAGCAGACTTTATATGGAGATGGGATGTTAGAGAACTATAAATCTATATCTATCTATATCTACTCTTTATTGGTCTGACTTCTAATCAAAACCAAGAATTTTCAGAAGAACAAGAAATAAAATATTTTTTGCAAAACTTGATAAAGAGCAGAAAACACCCATGTGATCATTTAAAAGAGCTTTACATTTGATAAATGTGAAAAAGTTTTTAATCCATGCCCAAAATTTATTTATCCAAGCTTTCATAATCAAGAGATAAATTACAGATATAAGTACAGAGTGTCCAGCTTCAATTAAGGATGCACCCCTGGGAAGGGCCTTTTTGACTTTTGTAGGAAGGCAGGTGAGAACCCACGTCCCAGGATCCAGGGTTCTAGGCACAAAAAATGTCCAGAGCACATTTGCATGTTGGCTCAGCCTTCACACCAGGACCTATGAGTATTTATCAGAAGGCATTTATGGTTAAAGGTAGCAGTTCAGAGAAGACCAATCCAGTGGG